CCAACACTGACGACCCGAAACACTCGCACACCTTAATGCTGCCGAGCGGTTTCAAGTGCTTCAGGTTGCGAGAATGGATCCTTACCTGCAGGTGTGTCTCAACCTACCCCCAGTTGGAGAAGTTTCTCCAACTCCTCAACTACTTACGGTAATAGTTCATGTGCGGGGTGGTCCTATCCGCTTTAAACATGATCTTATGGTCCTACCGCAGATACGACACAACCGACTCACACGGTCTTTGGCATGGAGCTGCTCTCATCCACTGCGCACATAGAGAAGAGCTTTGCCAAGACTCTTCGCGGAGGCGTCAATGTCCTTGCTCAGGAGATTGCAAAGACACAACGCGTTCGTTCCTTCAATAACCTTCGTGTAGATGACGCTGGAGGGCGTACCGTGTTTGAAGGTGCTAGATTAACGTATATCCACGCATATCCACGAGGTTCAGTCACAACAAAATCACCAAACCCCTGTCGCAGATAAACAGGTACCGTACTATTCGCCCAATTTTGTGCATGGGAGGAAGGAGTTGGTTATCTATGCCCGTTGGTCCGACACATCATTTGAACTTGCCAATCTTGAGACTGGTGCTGCACACAAATTTGAAGGTCTTCCATTGGGAAGGTACTTTTCCCCCACCATTTGCGAATGCCCAGGATCATCACGGCGACTCTCGTTTGTCAAGACAGGAGGCGACGAACTCACCGGCAATGTTGTCGCCACAGCAAATCCTGGACTGTACATTGCTGATATCGAGTTGCCGTCGAGTGACGTTGGGAAAATCAAACTCCAGAACCTTCATTTCATCCCCTCCGATTTGGATCCCGACGACCGCGTTAACATGAGATTCATCGAAGGTGCTAACAAGCTCCTGGTTCAGGACTCTCAAACTGCTTTCACTGTTGACTTATGGAAGGGCCCCGACGGTAACGGAGACTATGAACATGATGTAACGTGGAGCAGGGACGGGAAGAAAGTATTTTGGTTCCTTGGTGCGTTTCTTCACCTTTGAACAGGTCATTCTGGTGCGCTAATGGTTGGAAACTAGGCCCCTTCTTGCATTGCTGGAAGTCTCCAAGCTGAAAGCTTGTTCTTCAGCGATTCAACAAGATCGCTTGAATTTTGGTACCAACTGCGTGCACGCCCTAGTGGATTACCAGGAGGTCCTAATTGAGCATCCGACTGATATCGCTCGTCTAAAGCAAGAAAAGTAAATACCACACGCCACGCTTACTCCACACTTCAATTCGGATGACTGACTTAGCATAGGCTCCAGAAATCCACAAGACATGGTATTCTTGAAGGTCTCTCGGAATCGACGGCTTGTCCAATTGAATGCGAGATCTCCTAAACAACCACGATTAGCATCCTAACCATCTTCTGCGTTTAGCATATGCCTTGTTCAATACTTCGCAATCAGTCGCGAAGATGGTTGAGAAAGGACTTCTGGCATACACTGGCGAGCCCCCACTTGGAGTGAATTACCACGCTGAGATGTGGTTTGTTAAACAAGCAACTACGGGGTGAATTCAATATCATCTCCGTCCAAAATCCTCAGCTCACGTCAGCAGGTTATCCATGCAGCCACTCCATCTGGCGCCCAAACCCTCGGAATGTTTTCGTCCTTAGGCTCGCTGTCTGATGGAAAGCTTGCAGACTACCTCATCTATCCTCCCGGGGTTGACCTTTTGGAAGACGATATCAGCCGGACGAGGGAACTGGTATATGTTGCTCGTGGTGGTCGTGTGTGGAATGCTTCCACGATGGAGGAAGTTTGGCCTGTGAAGGGCAAAAGCAAGAAGTTCCGCCTTTCAATGCCGAGTAGACACTGCTAATATACGTATCTTATGCTGTTATATTCAATTCTGAATTCTGATCAGTGGGTTTATGATTTATCGACGCATACATGGAAGCTTTCATGTGACTTTTTACAATAATATCAATTCCCAGTGAGCAGGTCAAGAGATCACTTTTGATTAATCATCGTCAATCACGACAAGTTGTCCTCATTCTGGTTCTCACCAAGATAAATTAGGTCGTATCGATACAGATTTCCCCTATCTCCAACTACCACCACCAACCAGCCCATAGTATATCGAAAAAGTCTTTGACGTCTATCCGAATGCCGTCTCTTGAACTTACGACAAACATCAAGGCGCGTTTCAGACTCCCGATTCTGCGAATCCTAAAATGCTGATTGGCGGTATGCAGATTGCTGATCCCAAGGCATTCGCACTTGAATTCTCGAAAGTATGCCTCACTATGAGGTCTGTCCATTCGCAACACTCAACGCTCTTTAGTTTGGGGCCGAGGTTCTTGGGAAACCAGAGGCGTATATCACAGTCCAGTACCAGTACAACGAAACAATCACTTTTGGGGGTACCTTCGATCCCGCCTTCACTCTGAAGATCGTACGTCGCTTTGCACCCTGTCGTCCGAGAGGGAGATATTTAATGTGTTCATTAGTTCAGCTTGGGTAACCTCTCACACGACAAAAACGAGCAATACAGTAAGACGATCTCGGAGTGGTTGGGTAAGAAATTGGGTTTAAAGAACGACCGTGGATATATTGTGTTCATAGACCCCGGAAATTCTTACATTGGGTATGTGTTTAAGATAGTGAACTTGCTCCTGAGAGTCGTTACTGATGATGAGTAGGTTCCAAGGAACCACCTTCGGAACTATTTTCGGCTCCAAGTCATGAGTACTACCGGTACCATAACCATGTCAGACTATATGTGAAAGAGAATGTATATTCGTGTATTTTATGGTTCCCAAAGAACTCAAGCAACTGGGAAGTATAAGAAAGAAGAGAAAAAATATTAACTGTATAAACACAATCAGGTGAAGTCCTGAATAAGTTGATGGTACTTCATTGCCCTAATACCATTGATCCAAGTGCCGAGTACTGAACTCCAGGGCACTCGGGTCATGCCAACTCCTTTCGCTGCCAACATCAGACCATTCATTTTCCAGCGGAGGATTTGCGACTACCTCGGGTCTTGGGTCCGCGTCGGGACCTGCATCAGACCAAGGATCGTCATAATCCGTGGTGGGGGACATGGGCCGTGATGAAAACTTTGAACTCGGAAGGGGAGAATCAACCGTGGAAGACAGGTCCAATATAGGCATGATGAAGGAAGAAGTGGATTCTGAATCCTCTGGACTCATCATAGCTGCAATGTCGTGTTCAGCTGGGTCGATGGCAGAAGAAAATTCCGACATGGCGTCAACGTCACCAAACCAAACCTCCTCAAGGGCACACCACCCTGTACCACTTTCACCAATGACGGCCCTGACCTCTGCTTCCGTCCAGCCAATAAATTTGATCACGAGGTAGGTGCACACGCCCCTTCCACCGACTACTTGACCATATGCAGAGCACCTGACACCTCTGGCCCACACATTGGATTGGTCCAAGCGGAGGTGTAGGCTCTGTACGCGAGCTGAATGTGTTTCCCACAAGGCATGATATGGGCCAAGGTAGGATAAACCTGGTAGAAGGCTAGGCGGGTCGCTCAAGAGAGTTGGATCCGGTGGAAGAGAGACTCGAGGGACCGGAGTAGGGGTGAACGGAACGGAGAGATAAGTGGTAACAGAGGGAGTCGTGTCGCGGAAATACGAATCCATCTCATCCTCGAGCTCCTCCTGGACAGTCGCCACGATGGCAGTCTCTCTAGGCTTGAGCATCTCCTTGTTCTTTCTTCGAGAAGACCTTGTTCCACGCCTCATCCTAGCCTGTCGAACATGGCCCTTCCTCAAATCAAGATCGGCTTCGTAGAATGCGCGGGCGATGACAGGAACATTGTCAACGAGGTGCTGGAAGATGGGACGAGCAGTAGAAAAATTTCTGGCGGTGCCTAAGCCCACGTTCGTGGTAACTCCGACACCGGGCGAGGGAGGACGAGGGAGGTAGATACTGCGTGATCCAGAAGATAACGCAGTTCGAGCATGTAAGGAAAGGCCCGACTTGATGGTGGGTGCTGCTCCAGAGTGGAGAGAGCGGGCAGCCCCAGCTCCGCCATTGTGTGTGTATGTCGGAACTCGTACGCCGGGTGCAGAGAGATGATTGAAGAAACGAGCCAGGAAATTCCGGGATGCAGTGAAGAACTTGCGCGGAGGAGAACGTATTTGCTTGGAAGGACCAAGGCCATAGGCGGGCAGCGGTGTTGTGGATGCATGCCGAACTTGCGCGCCGCCATGGACTCTATGCAGAGCCGACTGGCCTGGACCATTATGCCCACCATGGTGAGCGATGGCATTAGCAGCCTTGCGCGTGGTTACACGCGCCACTGCAAACACCATCTTAACGGTATGTGTGGTTGTCTGTTGTAATACCAGCAGTAACTGGAGATATGGATGGGAGAGAGTGGTGGTGGATAAGAACCAAGAGGAGGAATACACAGAGAGGAGGAATAGAGTCCATTTCCAAATCAGGAAGCCGAGGTCGTACGTCGCCACTGGGCCGCGGTGGCTGTGCACTGGTGAGATCATAGATGCTCTGTTAGTGGAACTAACTTTCAGTGTCTTTGTCGGTGTGAACGTAGAAACTGGGCACACCTTGGGAACGACTTGTGCTACAACCTTGTGGATAGAGACCCCATATTTGAGTGTGTACGTTCAAAACCTAAGGGGTAAGTCCAGGCGTTGATTTTTTTTTGCAGTCAAGGCGCTTGCGTCCATGCGAAGTCTGTGTTCGAAAGTACACACTCAACTGGGTATAAAATTCCATCTGTGGGGCACAAACGTGTTCCGCGCATTGATATTCGCTGGTATAGCACGCTTATACGCGAAAGGCAAAGTGTAAAAGTCAAAGCGATGGCGAGTTCTGGCAAAATGCCACTTGAGAGGTTCGGATCAATTTTAGGATCAGTAACGATCAATCAATCAACTCCACTAATCATTAATCATTGATGATGTGGCTCTGGGTCAAAAGCATTTTTCCGTTCGCCTTGATATTGCAATGACAATCAGAAAGCTGGCTGTACCGAATAAAAGGAGTATCCGATCTACATGGTTCGAACAAGTGACCTTGAGATTTTAAATTCCAAGTTGTGGGTAACCGATTACAGTCTCACGCTCTTCCAACTGAGCTAAGATCGGATGTTGAAAGCTTGGGTAAATATATCATGTTCATTCGTAATTATTTTAGAAGGGCTAGGAAACCGAGCTCGGATTCTAGAAGACACACTCTCCATGCCCTATAACTTCTGCGCAGCCAACATAGTTATTCATAAATTTCGATAAACTATACAACATTGATTAATCTAATTAATCCTGGGATCATTTCGTCATCCCCCCCGCCTTCCTCCTGATTTCGGGATCTAGAGGGAATCGTTGTTCCTCAGGCCCAACCGAATAGAGCCTCTGCCAGATAGGCTGCAGATAGCTCGGTGTCTTCCATGCCAACTCATCGTTCCTCAACCACAAACGAATCAAGTGCCGACTATGACAGGATTTAGCAAGATATTCCCTTTTCTGCGAGTCGATGTGCGTGTCAATGCACTCACGTATGTTCCGGACTATCGCGGAATGCATCTCGAGCGTGGAGTAATCCCATGCTGTTGATGTATTGGATGTCTCCCTTCTGGAAATTCAGGCCCAACGAATATTTCTCGGCGGTGTAATGCAATGCATCCAAGGCCTCCGCTTGTGCCTCGGTGATAGGTGGAATATGAGGAGTGCGTTTCTGCTCCCCGTACCCAGTAAAGTGGCGGCGGGAGTACTGAATGACAATGTGGCCGTCCTCATTATACAAGAGGGGTCGCTTAGTGTACCCTGGATCACCTCCGAAGCTGTCGATCGTCGCGATGAGACTCTTTTCGTTACGGGAAGCTTGGTTGTACCAACCTATCCAGGGGCCACTCCTCCGCCAGTGTGTGAATGAGATCGGGGCGAGTAGCAGCTAACTCGTTGTAAACTCTCGGTCCGCTGCTGATCCTCGAAACCCCTCCCTCGGCGGCATTATCCAAAGCAAATAGTGCAATCAGATCACCAACGTCTGTATGGAATACTTGTCCGTCGGTCGTATAGGCCGAATTACCGATACCCCCTTTCTCGTGTGCATGGCTAACCGTCAAGTCCTTAATATGGGCTAGGACGGCGCCGGTGGCATCCTGCTTTCCTCGTGCGGAACCCACATGGGACGAAATACCTGCCAAGTTAAAGCGTTACATGACTTCGCATGATATATCCACGGAAATTTTCACCTGCATAGATAATAGCGAGCTGGGCACGCGAATATTTATGGATAGGGATCGTCCTAAGCACGAAGAATCCACGGCCCGCGTAAAGTTCTTTGGCTAGGCCGTAGAGTATGGGGCCAAGGTTTTGAAGGGGGAAGGTTTCCCGACTGATATAGCCCATAGGTTTATCGAGACCTGTGGTGCGGACAACCCATGAGACCTGGGAGCGCATAGAACTAGCCACCGCCAATCATCACGTACTCTCAAAGTGCTTCATGGCAGCATCGATCTCCTGCAGTTCTTCATCGCTGAGCTTATAGACCCATTGATCTTCGTTTGTCCAGTCCTTGCCTTCCCAGACAACTGGCCCTTCAACCTTGGCAGGGAAACCGGGGGGCAAGGGCACCTTGAGGAGGTCAGGATTCTTTGCCAGACGGTGCGCTGTACGTGCTTGGTACTTGGCCAAGTCTGGGTGGTACTCGATATCCGGTTGGGTCGCAGCGGCTACGGGCATTTCTCTCGTGGTTCTTCCTCTTGCAGTGGGGAACTTTCAGTGGAGAGTACCGGGTTGTTGGTGTTAGCGATAGATTGAGATTGACTATAGATAAGTATTTGTGGGACGAAGGTTCCCACAAATATTCCGGGGTGGGAAAACGACCAGACATATGGATAGTATGCCGGACTTGTCGGGAACAGCGGTTTCAGTAAACTACCGAATGCGCGTAACTAGAAACACTCACATCTGGCATGTGCATTATGACCCCTTTGGTTCTTTGCGCATTACGACAAGATTTGGTCATTTGCGAATTGGAGTATCACAATCTGGATTCACCCGCATGCCCGTGAGACAAGAGCCTTGGCAATTTTTACAATCGTTCACGACCAAGCCGGCGCAAATCGGGGCCATGCATAAATACCATACGTCCGAAATCTCCGTCTAGGCGCGAATGGTGCTCGGCGCCCGCAGGGAGAGGTCTGACGATAATCGGCCGCACACAACTAGGTCGGCCATAGGTCGCGGGTTTCAAATCCTCTTGGCTTTGGAGCTATTCATAGATTTAACGAAGAGTTTCCATTGAAAACAGCCGGAATGCTTGGTGGGAATCCGACACTAAAGAGACTAATAAGCTGGCTGAGAAAACAATGCCCCGGCTTGGCACGGGCATGTAGCATGTGAACCAGCTATTCGAGGTGATGTTTCACAAGAAAAAACGAATTGGTCCAATGAGCGACTGGTGGACGCCAGGTATGACCAAGTCTCATGGTGGGTATGAGAGAGCAGAATTAGGAGGTGAGAATGTTGAGGCTACGTGCTATTTATAGCCCTAACCTGAATTCTCAGGCCAAAGTATTTCGTTATGGGTTCGAAGAACGAATCCCCGCTCACTAAATGCTCCACCGGTCACCAGGAATTGATTACGACAGATCCATAGTCATGAAACTCAAACTCCATCCCCTCTTTTTTCAATGTGACTCTCATGGACTTGAATCCGGGCATGGGGGGTGGGTTTTACTGCTAGCCTGAACTCCACGACGTGGGATACCGTTCCCTACTTTCCCCTTGAAGGCGATCACGGACTCGATCATGGTTTATTTCTGGAGTCTTGGTGAGCATGAATTTATCGCCGTTCACATCGCTCTCGCAATGTGCACGAAAGACTTGGATTAAACCATGTGGATAGGCCGAGTGTCGGTGCTTTTGTAGTACTTATTGCAAAAATTAGCAGGCGTAATTTGGGTCTCTGTGAAATTCATTTCGGATTGGGATGCACTTAGGTACTATCGGAGCTACTGATTGAAAGCCGTCGGAGCAGGGGGTGGTGGAATGGGGTTATTATCCTTCTTCCTGACCTCAGGCTCCAGTGGGAACCGCTGATGGTCCGGTCCAACAGAATACAACCTCCTCCAATTTGGCTGCAAAGGTGCTGGTGTCTTCCAAGCCAATTCGTCGTTGCGAAGCCACAGGCGAATCAGGTGCCGACTACAAACAAAACGACATGATTTAGTGAATGTTCACGACTGGAGATGTCAGGCGGGAAAAAGGTTACTCACGTCTTCTCAGGGCTATCCCGGAAAGCGTCTCGAGCGTGCAAGAGACCAATACTATTGATATACTGGATGTCGCCCTTTTGGAAGTTGAGTGCCAAAGAGAATTTCTCAGCTGTAAATTGCAGGGTGTCGAGCGCTTCTGCCTGAGCCTCCGTGATCGCAGGGATGTGAGGTGAGCGAGCCTGTTCCCCATACCCGGTAAGCAATCGCCGTGTGTACTGGATGATGATATGTTCATCCTCCCAGTAGAGCAAAGGCTTAAACGTATATCCTGGCGTCCCGCCGAAACTATGTAGGGATCAGCAAATGTGTAATTGGAGTGGGGAAAGTATGGGTGTACCTATCGAGTGGCCAAGGTTCAGCAAGCACCCGAATCAAGTCGGGGCGTGTGGCTGCTATCTCGTTGTAGACACGCGGGCCACTGCAGAGCCGTGATGTTCCACCCGATTCTGAAGTGGAGAGACAGATGAGGGCGATAAGATCACCGACGTCGGTATGGAAGACTTGTTTGTCGGTGGTATAGGCTGTGTTTGCTCTGTGCCCTTTTTCGTGCGCATGAGAAACAGTAATATCCTTGATGTGAGCGATAACAGCTCCAGTAACATCCTGCTTTCCGCGAGCGGACCCAACAAAGGATGAAATGCCTTGGGGAGATATATCAGAGATGCGAACGTGAAGTGTTCAAGGACATACCAGCATAAATAATGGCGATTTCTTCGCGGGTATAGTTGTCTACAGGAATCGTCCGTAAGACAAAAAATCCTCTGCCAGAGTAGAGCTCTGCAGCAAGTCCAAGAAGGACGGGGGCAAGTGTCGGCAACGGGAAGGTCTCGCGGCTGATATGTCCCAAGGGTCTGTTCAGGCCTATACCGTGTGAGGCCGAGTCAACAGAATCAATGAAGCAAGTAACCTTTAAAGTGCTTGAGGGCATTATCGATCTCTTGGAGTTGTGCTTCAGTCAGCTTGACGACCCATTGTTCCTCGGTTGTGAAATCTTTGCCTTCCCAAGCGATGGGGCCTTTGATCTTGGCAGGAAAGCCCTCGGGCAATGGTTGGTTTGGCAAAGTGGGGTCTTCTGCAAGTCGACGGGCTGTGCGGGCTCTCCACTTGGTTTCGTCAGGCTGATAGGAAATGTCGGGTTGCTGTTGAGCTGTAGTTGGCGATAAAGTAACGGTCATAGTGGACTCTCTGGTCAAGTTAGCTAGAGTATCCGTCTTTCGCGTTTAAATGCGATATCACTGGGAAAGTGATTCCCTTGTCCTGCTCTTATAGGTCAGGCGGACACATCCCAGTGGGGACTTGAACTTGGAGCTCAAATCATACATCGGACCTGCAGTGTGAGCTCTCATCGGGATTACGGAGGGGATTTGGTGGCCTGCGAATTAACACCGATTGAAGACCGGCGCTTCACACAGTGGATAGATCTTGGCAGGGAGATCGATCACCGAATCCTGAAGCCGGGTCAATCGACTAATGGATGATGCACCAGAAAGCTCACCAAATATTGCGCGTGGATACTTCCTTGCTTTTCGCGGATTTAGGGATTGTGAGAGTCTGATTGCTTCCGGAACCAAAAGACAAAGTGATGCACCTGTGAATTCATTCTTGTAAAAGGGTTCTAAATTTTAACAAGGCATCATCGGGAATAAGGTGAAAGTAGCTTGGCCGAAGTCTTCGCCGAGCCTCACGAGGGGCAGCGGTTGAACGTGCGATCCTCCTCTACAGATCCATCGTTTCCGTGAAGCCAGGCAGAACTTGTAGGACGATTGAATTGTGTTTAACATGTGCGAAAATCTTCGTTATTGCTAGATATCCTCTGGCTCTTGCTCTGGCTCTTCAAATACCAGGACTTCCCGTTTCCCAGCGGTT